TGATGATGTGAGGTAGGAGCACAAGTATCCAGGCTCCGCCCATCCACAGCTTTCCCAGGGAGCAGAAGAGAAGGGTTTTCTTGTCAAGCACCATCCCTGGACTACAGTGCAGGCCCTCATTCTCCCTACCTCTGCCCCCATCTTCCTATCCTTGCCCCTTTCTGTGGCACAATCTAGGGGCTGAAGAGGAGAGAGACTCCGGAGGCCTCCATTCAGGAAGCAGAGCCAGGCGGGAAAGAAGGACATAGCAATCAGAAATGTCTGTTCAGAACCTACGACGTGCACATCCAACTGAAATAATGAGGCTGCAGGGAATGCAGAGATGGAAGAAGCCGAACTGTACCAGTCCACGGGGAACTGAGTCTAGGAAGGTGGGACAAGTGGAAACAGAGGCTCCTAGTAAATGAAGGTGAAGTACTCGATGGAGCTGCTGTCCTTGCAGCCGGGACTGTGGGCTGCCAAGCGTGGTGGACCACCAAGCTCACCATTCACCGAACTTATGAGGGAGGAGACTGGAGCCCATGGGTTGAGAGGGCTGAGAAGACCTGGGGCTGGGGGTAAGGGTGAGGGGCTGAGGGTGGGCTAGAAAGGGTCAATGGGAGAAAAGGGGACATATGTAATACTTCAACAATAAAGATTTAAAGAAGAAGAAAGAGAAGAAGAAGAGAAGAAGGAGGCGGAGGAGGAGGAGGGAGGAGGGGGAGGAGGGGGAGGAGAGGCTCCTTTTGTTTGCATAGGTTTAAATTCACTTTGTTTTTCCATTGGCATTTATCTTCCAAAAGCTGGTTTGTGCTTCAATGACAATGGCAATAATGCTTCCTTTGTGAATCTATTTGTGTGACCTTGGCCAAACCAGTCTGAGTACAGCACAGACAACACATTTGCTTCTTCTTCCAAATGGTACTTGATTTTGGTGTCAGTGCCACGTGAATGGCATTCAGATATAACAGTTGTATCTCCATACAGTGAGCCAGTCCCCAGTGCTTCTAAAGGCTGAATGTTTTGATTCTGAACCAAATGATACGATCGTACAGACTAAGCCTATCCTGACCAGGCATGCATCCTCTCATTAATTAACATATGTAGCTAGTTTTTTAAAGGGGTTACTTGGGCACTGTAGGGCATATCAAGATTAATCCAAAATAGCTCTCTCCCCTAAGGATCTTGTTATGGTTATTCTTATACCTCCCCTTCTGCCCATTTCTAACAATTTCTCACTTTTCTTCCTGGAACACCATATTAAGATTAGATTTGCTTCCAGGGACTGGCCAGGGCTTAGAAAAATGAATCTCCTGCTTGCCAGGATCCCCATACAGACTCTGCCAAATCAAATGTAGTGCCAAAGGGAATGTGTGCTTTGTTTGATCAGCACTGATTTCTGAGCTGGGGCCTGGAAAAAGAAAACATGGATTTTGTCAGTATCTATAGAGCCAGAGAAAAGTGTCCTGATTGCAATCTGTCCTAATTACAGCTGTGCTGGTACCAAATGTGGTGCTCAGAACATCTACTGTGGTCTCATAGCAACCCAACTCAATTTCTGCATGCAGGAAATGCTAGGGCTTTTAAAATAGATTAGCTGTACAACTTGTCAAGTATTCAATTCCTGAGTTGGAAGTGGCTTTGTCTTTGATAACTTCGCCATCCTCATGAAAATCCTGTCTCTACTACCTACCCAGAATGTCAGGTTCCTCCCGATCCCCAGGATGATCCTTAAATATCTACCTTGAACTCATGACGATGATTGGATTCAACATTATAATTGCACATGCCTGACTTTTCCACTCTGTCAACAGCCTCTTTTCTGGAGTATCTCCCAATGTGCATGTCATACCCTGTTAGGTAGGCTTTGAGCCTATAGCAATACATCTCATAGTTTTATGAGGAAAGGTCACATTTAATTCTCTGTAATTTTCAGCACTTCACACATTGTTAATACTTTGAAAAGATGAAACAATTTCTTAACATATGTAGGTGTAGGGCATTTATAAACTTTAAAATACTTATGTTTGTTCTCTTCTGCAATTCCCTTAATTACCCTGTGAGGTATGGCAAATCCCTCTTTGACAAATAAGGAAACTGAGGCATAGAGGCTAAGTGGCTTCACTGATGTCACGCAAATGGCGACAGAACCAGATTTAGGATCAAGTTCCCCTGACTGCTAGTTTCAGACATTTTTTTTGTTAAATATTGTCTAGTCACATCCTTATTCTCTGACAGCTATCCCCACCAGAAATCTCATTTTAATTATATATTTCATCCCTTGAAACCTTGCAGTGTGGCTAGCATTTATAAAATCATGCTGAGTGGAGGCAGTGAACACTGTCTGGGTGGCTCAAAGTAGCAAAAAAGATATAAGGACAAAATCAGCAGACAGATTTTTTTCAATGACTCTTTGAGACAGGATAGTGCAACCTCAAATCCACGTGGACACCAAGTTCTGATGAAACTGCTCATCACGAGACCACAGGTGCCTTTCCCACAGCCACTCCAGCTTGGTTTTACCACAATGTT